AGTGTGCTGGGCTGTAAGTACAGAAGCAAATAGAGGGAAGGAACAAACCCAAAGATAGAGTTCCTATGGAAAGTTGATGATGTTCATTGTGTTTAGAGTTGAAAGACTGTTCCATTAGTGTACGCTGGGAAGTCCTTTGAAATGGAAGGATGTAAAGTTAGCAAATTGTGCAACAACGTCTCCTTTATTACTATGAAGGCACACATCTTCTCACACACAGAGTGTCACACTGAATCTGGCTGCTGATCCTTTAAAAAATTAACCATGGAGATTACAAATTAAAATCTAAACTCTGGTGTTGAGTTTGCAGAGTTATGAATGACCGATTTAAGCATTAATTGGAGAAGGAAAAGTACAGCATAATGGTGAAGAGTGAGATGGAAATGGCAATAGAATATGTAAAGTATATAGGATAATTGAATTAACTGAATAAAGTATTTGATGAAGTCTATTAAAAGCCAAATAAATAGATGGCGGTATTTGTTATTGGGCTGCCGATGAACATAAATGGTAATAATTATATTGTAACATTTGAGCATAGGTTTTTTATTTCTTGAACACAAATTATTTTGGAAGAACAAATTCAAGAACACCATGTGTTGAAAGAAAAAAAAATCAGCCTTTTTTTTTTTTTAAAAATGTGTTTGGTACAGGATCTTACTACACAGATTGGACTCATAGTGATCCTCTTCTTTTCAGCCTGCCCAGCGCTGGGTTGACAGGCCTGCGCCACAATGTGGTACCACAGGTCGATCCTTGTTTCTACGCTTGCCTAAGCAGGTGCTTAGTCTGCTGAGCTATCTCGCTGGCCCTGAAATGGGCCTTTTAATGTAGCTTTTGTACCAATTTAGTTTGTAATATAAAATAGCTATACTAACCATATTCTTACTTACTTATGCACAGATAAACCCTCCAAGAGCCTCCTATAGTCTTCCACATTTATAACATTTTAGCATTTATTTTTATTTTATTTTTGGTTTTGTTTCTGATACCAGGGATGTAACTGAGGACCATGCACTTTCCAAGCAAGTGTTTATGCCACTGAGCTCTATCTCCACACTCTACAATATTCTAATTACTCAATCTTTTGGAAATGGTCATAAGGAGATTCCAGTTACAGTGCATCTACTGTTTGCCTTTTCCTTGGCATGATTTTCTTTGTCATACAGGGAAAGACCCAATCCAGCTCCTCTTAATTGATTTGTTTTGAAGTTTACTCTCTATGAACACTGAATTTACTGTTTAATATGGAGGATTAATAAACTTCTAATACTTAGTCTTTTTCATGTTACAGCTCCTTATATTCCCATTGATATTACCCACACAATAATGTATCTTTATTGTTTGTTTGTTTTTGACTTTTTGAGTCAGGGTCTCACAATGCAGAACAGGGTAGCCTGAAACTCAAAATATAGCCCAAACTGGCTGGTTCTAGTTCTTGGCAGGCTAAGACAGTGACACATATCTCTGGATAAGATAAATAGCCATGCCATTGGGAGATTGTACTTCCAAATCATATACAAAAGCCCAGAGTCTATATTTATTACTATTTAATACTGGGAGAACTTTTAAAGGAGATAGAGCCTATAATCTCTTCTGGAGATGAGAGGATGCTATGACCCTGTCTCTTGGGAAGCAGAGTAAATGTGCTGACATCACTTAGGGGGTATGGTGATAACCTGGCATAATGAGCCACATGTGAACCAAGGTAGGTGCTTACTTCAATCATGACCTTTGAGAATTTCTCAGAGGGTAGTGTGGGAGGTGTTTTTAGGAATGGAACTGGAACAAGATGTTCTTCTTCCCACGAGTAAACTATGAAATGAGACTTCTAAATGTTTTTTAATTACAGTTCTGAGCTCAGCTTGAAGGTGCCAGTCGAGCTGAAAAGCAGCGTTGTTTATTTTCTTTGCCGGGTGAGAGTTTGATGGAGATGAATTCATTGCTTGCTCATGAGCCAATTTAATCATTCTGAGCGGGAAAACAAAAAAAAATTTCTGATTAATATTCTTAAATGGAATATTTTGAGTGAATTTGAATTGATCTCAAAAGTAGTTTATCTCTAACAAAATTCTGTTACTGACAAAGTTATTTGTAGGTTTATTTAACATGTTTAACAATAAGGAATTTGTGCTGAACAGACCCGGAGCGCAGGCCCGGCGGGTGAGTGAGACGACCCAGGCCGCGGGATCCTGAACAGACCCAGAGCACAGGCCGGCGAGTGAGTGAGATGACCCAGGGCTGGGTGGGATCCTGAATAGACCCAGAGCACAGGCCCAGCACAGAACCCTTCAGCAGAACTCCCTACAAAGAGGCTAGAGGCAAGACCC